CTCTAATCTTACTTCCAGAATGGTTGCAGTCTTTCATGTCTTGGTGTGATTTATAAATATTATATATGTGTTCCATTTGTTTTGAACATAATACAGATTAGTGTTATAACTTCCATTACCATGTTTGCTGTTTCCTCTTCCTTCTGGTTCTTACCTTTTGGATGATGCTCAGCAAGTGGAACAAGCACTGGGACTGCATCTAATTTACTTTTTAAGTATTGCTAATTTTTGTGATCCAAAGGTTGTATAGGAATGACAAAAAAGACAGGGCATGCAAAAAGTGAACTTACATAGGCACTGGTATGCAGAGACTGCATTAATTCAAGGCATGCTTAAAACGTGAATGTATGCAAGCACAATTTTTGTTTTTTAGCTAAATCTCACAGAGGTTCTATCAAATAGACCATTAAGGAGTTAAAACTTTTGTATCCACAGCAGACCTTTGCCACTGGAAATAAAAACCAGACAGCATTAGCACATAGTAAATTAGGAAATTTGCTTTCGAAACAGATGTAGTAACTGCTGTGGCTCTGTCCTGAACCAGTGTCAGTTTTGAAGTTCAGAAAAGTCATGAAGGAAGATAGTGGGAAGAAGGTGGTCTTACTAATGCTCATAAACCATACTCCTTTACATAGTAAAGTTATCTCCAGATTTTAGCCACAAATGCCTAAGCTAATTAAAAGATTATTGAGGGAACTCAAGAAGAGATGAAGCTTCTTGTGAATAGGGAAGGTTCAGTGGCAGTGTTAATTTTTTGGCACTGATGAGCAACATGTTGAGAATAAACTGAGATAAATCCTAAATCCTAATGCTTTCCTGCAGTAGAAGAGTGATTTTGTCTAAGAAAAAGAATGTGCTAATACAGTGGAGGACTAAGTGTTACAGGAAAACATTCCTCAGTGAGTTGATTACTTTTTGTTAGGGTGGGTTTTATCTATTTGGTTTAATAAAGATTTGTAATAGTTGAATTGAAGCTGCTTTAGAAGTCGTGGGGATAGGCCACTTCATATATTATCTGTGGAGAGATAGCTAAGGGCAGGACAAAATGGAAGTTGCAACACTAATACATATGTGTGAATCTTTTTTTTGCAGGTATGTGGAAGCTTCTGAAGCAGTGGCAGAAGAGGCAGACAAACCCAAGTTAAAGACTATTGCTTTGACCTGTGTTCTAAACATCGGTGCATGCAAACTAAAACTCTCAGATTGGCAGGGAGCCATTGAGAGCTGTTCAGAGGTAACTGTAATGTTCAGTATCTTGGTCAAGAATTGGCCAAGACAAAAGACTACAAAGCTGTTTTTAAAGAGTCTACTGACAAGCTTATGATTTGAAAGTAAACAAGTAGAAGCTCATGGTGAAATTAGTACAGACCTTCTAATATGTGGCTTTTTAAAAAGATTCTGAAATTGAAATGAATCATTAGAAACAAACAAAAGTGGGCTGTTGCTTACTGCCAGGAAAAGTGCACATCATCGTCAGTTTGGTTAGCAGAGCTACTTCTTAAATTACAAAGAATTAAACTGTTTAGTGAGAGGAATATTTTTCTCTGGAAGACAAGTATGAGCAAAGTGTTTTACTTGCCTCTAAATTTGATAGCCTCGTATTTTATTCATGGCAGGGACTTTCTAAGTAAGTAACTAACATTTCAGGTAGGCTTAGTAGTGAAGTAAAACGACTTAATAGGAAGCAAGAAACAAGGTAATGATAAATCTGGAAAAATAAAAAACCATTACATGGGCATAGTACAAATTTAGTAAATTTGAGGAAACTTTAAATAGTTCAGTAAAACTCCAATATTTTGAAGGAAACAGAGAAAAGGAAAGACTGCTCTTATCTGTTAGCAAAGAATCCTGAGCAGCATCTCCTAGGGCTTTATGCTGAAAGCCGGAGTCTCAGCTAATCTAATCATTGTAAAGATGGCTTGCTTTCCCTAGCCTGCTGATGGTGGAAAACCTTCATAAACCTGTATTCAGAATGGAAAAATGGAGAACGAGCAAAGAAGAAAATAGGAAAATTGTGTAATGTGGTATCTGTCACCTAGATATGGTGACACTGAAAGATAAAACTGAAATGAAAGTGTTAAAGGTAGAAATTACTACAACTAGTAATACTTCCCATTGTGGGAAGAAAATCGCACTTCCTTTTTTTAAGATTAAACAATTGTTACATAAAGGCAACTTCATAGCTATAATAGACTTCTGTAAGGTATTTAGCTTATGTCTCATAACTGTCAATGCTTTAATCAGAACACCAGTTTCCTAAAATTAGCTAATAAAGTGCTAGGTAATTGTTGGAGAGAAATGGCACACTCCCATGATTTCACAAGGCCAAAAGCAATTTAAATTAACAACCTGGAATACATGCATTGTTTGGTGTAAATAATGAATTATGAACAGCTTAAACCTGTTCAAACAAAACTTGCATTGAAATTGTTGTAAGCGCAATGGTCAAGGTAAAACCAAAGAATGTGTATACAATGTGTATACAATCCTGACAACTAATTCTTAGCACAGAAGAGGCTGAAGGCTTTATAGTAGATGGATTAAGAGAAGCACCCACAGTAATACTTCCTTTGTATTAACAGCCAATACTCAAATGACTTAAAAAAAATCAGATGTGTTGTCTATTAATGATTTAAAGTTAATAAATTAAATTAATAAAACAACACATTGCTGTGAACACATGTCCTCTGAACACTGAGAAACTATATTCTTAAAAATAATAAAGACACTATAGAACTAGCTGCAATAAAAACGTGATCTTCACAGGCAAGATAAGGTAACAGGTAGCTGACCAAATTATCTGAGGTATTCTGAAAAATAAAGTAATCAAATAGCAGAACAATCTCTTTGCCCAGCCACTGTATTTCCTATTTTGATATTGTCATATCAGAGCTGGCCTATACACATGATTGAAAACATTCAGCTCAAAAAAGGCGTAATGACTAGAACTTGGCAAAGTTTCTGAAGCATGATGAGCTGGATTGCTTGCATGTATATCTATCTAGCCCACAGAGAAAAAAATCTTTACAGGAAATCTCTGTGTTTTATTTATGATGCCATTTGAGGAGGTTTTGGTGCGAAGGAAGGAGCTGCAATAGAGAGTTGCCCTGTGAGACTCAAGGTTAGGATAATTTGAACTGCAGCAACTCCTCAGCTTTGACAGCTATCTATATATACACACACAGCTGTCCCATTTGGGCCTCATGTATGCTTATCCTTCACAAAAGACCACTTTTGGTGCAGTGGTACTGAAGCTGATTACTTGCTATTCAGTGTGCTGCATTACAGCATTCCTTTTTACACAGTTAATGTTTTGACAGCTTACCCTCAAACCAATTGCGAAGATTGTCTGCTGGTGTGAATTGTGCCATTTGTGGAGATGGGAGGCTGTGAAGTTTAAGAAATGTTAATGTGACAATTTTATTAAATTTACAGGCTCTTAAAATAGATCCAGCAAATACTAAAGCTCTCTACAGACGGGCTCAAGGATGGCAGGGAATAAAAGATCTTGATCAAGCACTGGTAATGATCACTTCTTCTTTTCTTTTTATATTTAAAATTCTATCAGATCATTAATTTATATTTTTCTTCTATTTAAGGCTGATCTTAAAAAGGCTCATGAAATAGCCCCTGAAGACAAAGGTAAAATAAACTATTTCTTTTAAAATTCCCTTCAGAATTTAACAAAGTATCCAGGACAGTATTCAGTTGGAATTCATACTAGTGTGATGCCTAATATGCTAGCTTCTTAAACACTGATATTCTGAGCACAGAACCCACTGAGGTGGAAAACCTGATTTTATACAGCAGTGATGCTTCTGTTGCACTGGAAAACCTGCTTATGTAGGTCAGCAGCATTCCTCTTGAACTATGTCTGTATCTCACAGGGCTCTTACTAGCTTAATTCCCTGCTCTAATGCATGAGATTTTTAGCTCATAAGTTCTATGTTGGCACCAATACCATGCTGGTTACACCCTCCTCTATGTGGTTACCTTAGCAGCTGAGACAAAGCAAGGGCCAAAGGCTTTTTCTGCTAGTATCTGATCTAATCAAAGATTAAATGCAAGTTTATGAAATTACAGAGGTAAGTTTCAGCAGTGACCTAGTGTTAACCTATGAGGAGACCTAATGTAACAAGATTACAGTAACTCTGTCATTTTCTTTTTGAGCAGCTATCCAGACGGAGACACTCAAAATCAAACAGAAGATAAAAGCCCAAAAGGAGAAAGAGAAAGCAGCTTATGCTAAAATGTTTGCTTGATTTTTTTCCTAAACATTTAAATCTATGCACTAACTCATGCAAAAGGATATATGGAACTGCTTCTTTCATTTGCTCTCTTCTGCAGTTTTCAGTGTTTACAACACAGAAGTCTAATAATAAAGACAAACTGTTCAAAGGTGATGAAGTTTTCTCTCTTTTGTTTTTTTACGCTGTAGTAACTAGTGTTTTGCAACTCATGTATTTTTCTAATGTGTAAAGGCAATGGTGGTTGTTTTTACAGCTTAACAGTGCTTCCAAAGCAGCTTGGTTTCACACAAAGAGAATTTAGGCATTTTCATAGTTCCTATTAGAGCAGGCCTGATTTCTTTAAGGAATAAAAATGCTGGTAGACACAGAATGAAGATGCAAGTATTATTTTGTGTTGGAACCACTTTACAAGAGGTATTCCCTACTATTACCATCAGGGAAAAAATCCATCAGAACTGTAAATTTGATGTAAAATGTAGCACTTCAAAGCGGTGACAGTTTTCTAGACCGATTTATTTCCCTGACTGCCAGGTATGATTACATGTAAATCACTCCATCTAGAGAGAGAAAATACTTTTTTAAAGGTGGGTATTGAATTATTCCACCATAAGTGCAATTCTGGATATGGCTCCTGCTATCACTGAACTTTAGCAGTAAATCCAAGATCCGAAGCTCCTTTGTCAGTCCTGATACGAACTTTTGCCTGCCATACAGCTCCTGTAAAGAAGTCCTACTTAAATAAGGCTAGGGTTTAACCAGAAGGCACCAACTTTCCATTTAATGCAACAGTCATATGTAAAATTCAGAATGGCACATTAGTCTCAAACTCTTTTAACATTCAAATCAGTGCTGTACATTAATTACGCTGCAGCATAAAATAACTCCAACATATTTGTTGGTGATCAGAAGTCACTGAATAGATCTGTTAGTTTACATTCCATTATAAGCTGGTCCTCCTCCACCTTCAGGTACTACCCAGTTAATGTTCTGACTTGGGTCTTTAATATCACATGTTTTGCAGTGGACACAGTTCTGAGCATTTATCTGCAGCCTTGATCCTTCTCCTGTTTCCAGAGGAACATACTCATAGACTCCTGCAAAAACAAGAAGGGATCTGTCACTTTGCTGAACAACTTCCCCCTGCATGTATACTCTACTTACCAGCAAGTGTAATGAAGGAAGTATATTACTAATGTGACTTAATTTTCTTCCAATATGTTTAACAGTTATTTCATCACAGAAGTACTACTAACATATTTTAAGACCTGCAACTGAACCCCCTTCTGGGAGGAAAATTGGGATAGAATGCTTGGAGTAAGTATTAGGCCAGAAGGTGGACCCTTCCTGAGGTACTCAGTCTTTCATCTTGCAGAAACAGCTGACACACACATTTTTGTTACCTACCTGCTGGACAAAATCTTTGCTCCGGTCCATCAAATAGAGCCAGATTCCTGCTCACAGGGACACTGTCATCTTTGAGAGTTAAATGAGCGGGCTGGTCATGTTCATGGTTGGTACCACTTAAAGCCACAGATGACAAGAGATCAAAACTGATTTTTCCATCAGGCTTTGGGTATTCAATGGGAGTGCAGTCTTTGGCTGGCTTGAGCTGAGCAAAATCTGGTCCTAAATATATTTTTAATAAATTTCAGTATAGAATTACTGTAATTTGCAATTACTCAAGAACAATTTAATGAAGCTGGTTTAATTTCCCTTGTCATCAGAATGAAGTAATTCATAAAGGTAGCCTTTTTCACAAGACAAAAATCTATACCATGTTATACAATGTTTTAAAGTCTTAATTTACATTGTGGTAAGCTAATATGACAACATCTGCTTCAATGCTTTATCATCCATTTCTTTTGTACACTTCAAGGCCTTACCACTGGAGCAGATGTGCACTAGCTGAAACTAAGCAGAAAAGACTGACATAAAAATCTAGTGTCTTCTTCAGGAGATAATGAAATTACCTGGATGTTTTAATGTCCATGGTTCCATTCCTCTCAGTAGCCAATAAAATATACCTGTATATATCATTCCTCCATACACACCAAGTACGCTATGGCAGGATGGTCGGATGTTTCTCACCGCATACAGCTCTTTCCAGACCCAAGACTTTTTCAGGTTCTCTTCATATTCTTGCACATCCAGTCCTAAGGCAGTACATTACTTGTTAGGTACCTACAGTACATCAAGACTATCCTTGAAATAAAAAATAAATGCTGAATAAAAGCAACTGCTAGCAATAAAATCAGCAAAATGAGAATTTCAGAACTGTAGGCTAGGAATATACTAGACAACACGTTTCAGCCTCTCGAATCAAGAGACCTATTTTGTTGGCAGATTGGAATTGCTCCTTTGTAGCCTCTATTAAATGAGCCACAAGCAGCATTAAATTGTCTCAAACCTCAGCAAAATATAATCTGACAGGTGGCTACACTAGCACCTCTGTGGGAAAATAGCTACTCACTCACAGAATCTGAGTGCTGACCAAGACAGTCTACCTGTGATCCAAAGCCAGGTTTGCAATTCTAATGTCAGGTTCAAAAGCTTTTTCCAAAGAAGTTTTGCAACCAAAGTCCCATTTCAGTAACCAAGGCTGTGGCCCAATGGATAATGCCAGTGCTGGGTAATTTCTCCCTTTGTAATCAGCACATTCATGAGATATATTTGACTGCAAAGTTTGGATTTAAATTCCTTGATTGTATTCTTCACAAATACTACAAAGACATTTCACACTTGACACATCTGCCACAGTGTAGTTAAAGTCAAGTAATTATCTAAAAAAATGTTTCTTCAAATGAAAATTATTTGAGAGCTTTCCCTTCACCATTCTCCATTACTACTTTATAGGAATAAATGTTCTAAATAATCAGTCTTAAGTGATGTCTACATATGAAAAGCATGCTTCAGTCCATATTTGCCATAAAGCAAATTCCCGCAAAGAGAAGAAAGCGGGCTGTAGTAGTCCAGTCTTGACAAGACTGAAAAACATCATATAAAACAAATCAAAAAAGAATGGCACACTACCCACCCACAGTGTTTATAGCTTCAGATGGATTCTTAGCATTTTGGCATGCCTAGCTGAAGTTTTAATTGTTCAGCACGCCTTCTGTGTATATGGTGCATTTCAGCTGAATAAGAACTCATTAGGCCTGAATCCACCAGTACAGAGGGGAGATTTCCAAAATAATCATGTGGCACCTGACTATAGTGTCTTATCTCCAGAGTGACTGAAATTCTAATTCTCTCTCCCTTCAGACTTTATTAACAGATTTAAGGGGACAACTAAGGCTTAAACAAATCACTACAAGGTGGTCAGGACCAGGGGATTACTACAATGTGCTTGTATTATGTATAAAATAAAATACACGTAGTCTCAAACTGAAATGACTAAAAGGACTGAATGAAAACAGGATCCTAACAACAGTAAGAGCAAATTTGAAAAATCTCACGTTGTTTTACTTACATTTAATCTATTCCTTTTGTTTTGCCTGTTTCGGCAGGTTTTCAGTAACACTTTCTGAATCATAAAGCACTACTTTTTATTGTGTTTGTAGGAACCCAACTATTCTTGTTTATTTATTCAGGAAGCATAAGCTTACTTTTCAGATGGTCATTACAGCTTTTAGCAGCAGGATCAATACTTACGAATAACTGAGCAAATATTAATTTCTTTCTTAAATAATTTAACATTATTGATAGTAAATAAACAATAAAATATATTTTAAACATACCCATTTCATTATTTATTCACACATTTCCAACTAATTGATTCAGCCAGATTAATCAGTGCTGTTAGTTGGTGGTGGTTCTAATTGAACACAAGATAATTACAACTCGAAATACAGTGATCTTACCTATTGTCTTTGATTGGAGATTTTCATTGATTAATTGACTAAAAATGGCTTCTGAAGCCAACATGCCACTTTTCATTGCAGTATGTGTTCCTTTGATTTTGGGAACATTCATGAGTCCAGGACTGCAGCCAATTAATAATCCACCTGGGAAGGTGAGTTTGGGTATTGACTGAAAAGAAAAGAGAAAGAAAGGTGGTTGTTTTATTCTTCTTTGTTAAAGTGAAAATAACATTCTGGAAATTAAACTGGCATAAGGCTTGAGTGTCCTTTCCATTTTCAGACTTGACATGTGCACTCTCTAAAGAGACACCAGTTACTCCACTTACAGAATTTGATATATAGGAAGATATAGGAATAGAGACACTACTTGTGTTGAGTATGTATGAAAGTGACATTTTCCTTATATCCTCTCTCCAGCTGCCTCATCTGCAGCAAAACTCCAGTAGTGTCACCCACTGATGTGGTTTTCCTCCTTCAACCTTAAGTGAATTCTTTAAAATAAAAACCCCAAACCCCCATTTGTTTCCCTGATTTCCACACAGTAAGTTGTTCTCATCTCACTTCACAGTGCTTTTTTCCACAAATCTTTTTTTATGAAATTGCACCATGTTACCATGCCTGTCCCCCTCCTCCTTATTTTAGAAGTTGCTCACAGCCAACCAAGATATTTTGGTGCAAAATCTTCATCTTACTCCCATTCTATAAGCATAACATCATTGAGTATGGTCAACTCACAAACATAACATAGCCAAGATGAATTCCAAATATCAGGTCAATAGAATTAATATACTATGTTATACACCTATATTAACTAAGGAATACCTCAGCTACCAAGGTGATTGAGATTTTAGACTGGGAACAGCTTTAAAATGCAGAATATTGCAGAACTTTGAGCAGAAAACTCTGATCAAATCCCAAGTCACAAATCACTGAGGGTTAAGTTTTGAACATACCCTTCTCCTCCAGAAGTCTTTAGTACTGAGCAACACCTCCTAATCTAGCATCCTGCTTTTATTAAAACTATCTGAAAGGATTCATTTTTCAGTAACCTAAATACTAAACAAAAGTTGAATTTCATGAAAAATGTCAAAAAAATATGTCCCTTGGAATTTAAGATAACCCAAACCAAAAGCTTTGTTTCTTCTGCTTGTTCAAATATTACTTCTTTTCTAGTCACCCAGGACTGCTTACTTCTGTATAGTCATATGGCAATCACTAAAAAACTTATATTACACAGCATTTCCTCTGTTTTTTGTGCTATTTGTTTAATCAGAGACGTAGTGATTTGGTTCATAGGGAAGGTAATTCAGGTTGAAAACACAGCTACAACTTATTTTCTGGGACAAGAAGTTTTAAGTTCAGCTACATAACACTATTTCAAAGGGACTAAGTATGAAGGATGTTCTCTCTTTGCACAGAAAACAGCCATTCTCTGTTATATACTAGGATTCAATGGTGCAGCATGGACATAAACATAGAAAGACTTCTTGACTGACTCTCTGAATTGCACAGAAAGATGGTGATCAAATACTTTTCTTCTGCAACCACTGTTTCATGTAATATGCACATAGTTACCCAACATACTGCCAAAGAATAAATGAGATTAAAGATGAATCATGTAACACACAAGGTAGCACATACTGCAGCTTTGGTAGTAATTCTCATTATTATGAGTACTATGGCACTTGGTGCCTGCTTTCACAGTCAGTGGAAGAAACACATCATGTTCCTGAGATACAAACACAAAACAAGATTCTTTAGAGAAGGGGAGACACCTGTTCCCTGCAAAGGGTTTCCTGCTGGCAGACAGGAAACCTCATGTTCTTCCTCCCCTTAGATCAGGACTTAAAATCTGTTAAGTGAGCCTAATATTTGACACTTAAATGGGTTGTCAGTATAAAGGTTTTCCCCCCTGATATTCATAGCATACACTGCTCAACAACTGCAACACCTTTTTTTCCACAAAACTCTTAAACCTTTCTTAAACCTGATAAAATAGAGACAAAATAGAGGGTGGGAATTTAAGTGCTTTGTTTTGCAATTTTAAAAACATATGAAATAGCAGCTACAGAGACTAAGTTACTAAACTCCTATCCTTCCTTCCACATACATTCAAAAACACGTGCACTCTGTCTCAACCTTCACTCTGTGCTAAAGACCGAAGATCATGGTCATAAGGTTGTCTATAACAAAAAAGCTGAAGTTGATGGTAACTCTATGCACCTTTTTGATGCAATTCTGTTACCAAAATCAAAAACTGGAGCTACAGAATGACTTACATAAGAAAATATTCCTGGACTACAGTGATACAAATGAGTCAGACTGCTACAGTTATTAATCAAAGCAACACGTGCAAAAGAAGAGCTAATCTTAAAACTCTTCCTAAGTGAATCATCAATAAAGCTTTTTTTTACTGAAGTCATGTATTAAAAAAAGTCTTTTAAAGAGTGACTGCATGATCACCTAGACAAATCCATCTACAGGAAATAAAAAAAAAAACAACACCAACCCACCAAAAAACTAAAAAAGCAAAGCATGCTTTTATATAAGGAACAATGCAAAGTAAGGGACATAATGGTTTAAATCCAGCAAAGATGTCCAAAGATGAGGCAGAGATGTGCAAGATCTGTAGTTCTACTGTGTAACTTAGCACAATGTTTGTAAGTGACTTAAAAAAATACTGTGTTCTTTCAGCTATAGGTTTTGAGTATAAGGAGGGTGCAACTAAAGTCACAATCTGGCTACTTCACCAAAGCCAGAAATTCCATAACTATGTGTGATAGAGAAACCAGTACACAGGGTGGAAAAAGAAACCCCTCTTGCATAAAAGTCTAGATTAAACCATCATATTTTGCATCATATCTGTGTTAATAATGGAGTGGCAATGGTTTTTGAAAGCAGTCAGTAACACAGTTGTGTTGCAATGTGATATGACATATTTCCGCTGCAGAGTGGACAAAATCAACGCTCAGATTGATTAAATGTGCAGCATGGGTGTAATCAAGAAGTTGCTTCCTGAACCCACATGACTCACTGCCAGGAATGCACACTGGGGTCAAAGCCTAACTCCACATGACTGTGACAAGAGTGACGCTGTGATGAAATTCCACTTGTACTGCAAAAACTGCGTGAAGCCACACTTATACTAAGAAGGGATTCACAAAGGAAAGGCAAAGTAGTCAGAGGGCAGAGTGGCATGGCCCCACACACAGGATGCAGGTCATGAACACTCAGGCTAGTTTTAAGGTCCAAACTGAAAGGACCATCTGGAAGATGGATCTGGGAGTACATAACATACTGCCATACCCTGTGTTTCAAGATGAGAAGCCAACAGGTTGAAAGTACTTTAAAATTGTTAAATATTAACTCCAGACCATTTTTTTTGCTTTTCCAGCCCTTTCAATTCACCTTAAGACTTGATGAATACACATTCAAAATTTTACCTTTTGCACTACTTAAGTTAACAAAATGAACTAAGTATTCCACCTCCCAAGAAAGCAAAAATTCAAAGTTGTGCATGAAAGAAACTCAAGGTATTTGTACTTGAAGAGGTAAAGATTTACCTGCCAAACTACATTACAATTTCAGCACCATCAGTGACTTAAGGCTCAAGCACTGAAAAGGAGCTCCTTTTGCTGGGATAAACAAGTAATTTGGATGGCCCCACAGGAACAGATCAGTGGTACTACCCTGTCTTCCCCAAGATTCCAGGTAAAACAAAAGATTGTCTGTGGCATCTTTGCTGCTGAACATACTTGACTGCAACATCAATTCCACTTCACTGGCTGCTCATGGCTTGGACAAATACTCCGCTGGATCAAAAAACCCTGTGGATGTCTGGGCCCAGAGAATGCTGGTGAATGGAATTATATCCAGTTGGCAGCCAGTCCCTAGTGGGGTTCCCCAGGGCTCAGTACTGGGGCCAGACCTGGTTAACATCTTTATCAATGACCTTGACAAGGGGACTGAGTGCACCCTCAGTCAGTTTTTGCAGACTGCATAAAGCTGGGTGGGAATGTTGATCTGCTGCAGAGGGATTTGGAAAGAACTGATCCATGGACCAAGGCTGAGTATACTGACATCCAGAAGGCAAAGTGCTGTGTCCTGTCCTTGGGTTACAACAGCCCCATGCAGTACCTTCAGCTTGGGGCAGTGACTGGAAAACTGCCCAGCAAAGGGGACATGGGGAGTCCTGCCAGCTGAACGTGAGCCAGCGTGCACCCAGGGGGCCAAGAAGGCCAATGGCATCCTAGCTTGGATCACAAATAGTGTGGCCAGCAGGACCAGGGCAGTGATTATTCCCCTGTAGCTGGCACTGGTGATACTCTGTCTTGAATCCTTTGACCAGTTTTGGGCCCCTCACAAGACATTGAATTGCTGGAGTGTGTCCAGGGCAGGGCAACAGAGTTCCCCAAGGGCCTGGAGCTCAGGTCATGTGAGGAGCAGCTGAGGGAGCTGGGGGTGTTTAGCCTGGAGCAAAGGAGGCTCAGGGGGGACCTTATTGCTCTCTACAATCACCTGAAAGGAGGGCACACTGAGGTAAGTGTCTCCCAAGTAATAAGTGACAGGAAGAGAGGAAAGGGGCTCAAGTTGTGCCAGAGGAGGTTTAGATTGGATATTAGGAAAAATATCTTCACAGGAAGGGCTGTCAAACACTTGCACAAGCTGCCCAGGGAAGTGGCTGAGTTGCCATCCCTGGATAAGACATATAGATGTGGCACTTAGGGACATGGTTCAGTGGTGGACTAGTTACTGGACTCAATGATGTTAATGGTCTTTTCCAATCTAAATTTTTTGATGATTCTGTATTTCATTTAGAAAGTAAAGTGAGTATGTCAGAAGATTTTCAGTATGACAGAGCCTGTGTCTAGCAAATCTCAGCAGCCAGTACCCACCAAGACAACAAGGTTTTTCTGTCCAGCAAAACATTTGGTGTATCATGCAACCCAAATCTACTGCACTAAATATATGGCCACAGAAACTCAAAGATAAAAACTTAGTGAAAAAAATTACCTGGATACCGCCCTCATTTAACGCTCTGGCACCGTAGGCAATCCTTGTCCCACCCTCCAAAGTAGGCTGTACACTAGGATGGTGCTTCCACCTCTGAAATTCCCTAAATGGATTCAAATAAGGATTCTGATAATCTAAACCAACCTTAAAAAAAGAAAAAAGTGCACATTAATAAGAGATAAGGTATGACATTTCAACAAAAATTTGAAATTAAAACAATTGCATATTGCCACATCAAGTCTTTAAATCTATGTTATTCTAAAGCAACCTCAGGATATTTCTACTTAAAGTACTGCCAAAAATACATTCTATTAATGGTAAAGCAGAAGCAAACCTGAAAATTTGCTGCTACAAGTCTGCTCCCATCCCCACCTGAAATATGGAAAATATTTAATTGCACTGTAACTTCATTTTATCTGTCTTTGGTATAAAAGGGATTAAATTAAGCCTGATTTAGTGTGTGGGATAAGTAGCAAAAGTTGTTTTAAATTTGTATTTCATACCTCTGCCCTAAAAAAGCTGAAAAAAGAGGTAAACAATTATTTTTTGATTGTTATGTCCTTGTGCTCTCATACTTTAAACAGTTCTTCAAATTGTTTAGCAATCAATTATAATTTCCAATTAGGTGAGCCATTATAATAAAGCACAGGGGAGCAATAATGAAAGCAGAAAATTGGGAAAAAAGATTGCCGGTGGGCTGGATGCCCAGAATTCTCATGCATTTGAGAATTTGCCCAAACATATACTCTGCATTTCCCATCTTTAAGATACTCTTCAAAAGAATTCTCTTCCTGATTTTTTCTCTTTTGAGAAAGGGATTATTTCTGGTTCCTGTGAGCTTTATTGGAGATAAGTAACAAAATACATCATGAGTCAGCAGCAATCAAGACTTTGGTATCTGTGGTGGCTCACTGCTTTTAGAGCAGTGCTCGCATCTGTGCTGCTGACAAGACAAAATTAATGAACAAGTCTCAAAATAAGGGTAAAACCACCCTACTACAGGAATCATCTCAGACTGAAATAGGTATAAAGGTCAAAGACAAAAAAAGTGATTGTTAGTTCACACAGAAGTTGTTTTTTTTCCTCTCTGGAGAGAATATGGACATTACTGATTACCTGTCATTCTCTGTGAGAATCAGAGCTCTCAGCCCTTCTAAATCAAACAGAATTTGAGTATCTACTGTATGTACTTATTAATTCCAAGGCTGTAAATCTGTACAGGACAAGTGTGTGTGTCTGAGAAAGATAACAAGTATTTTTCAATGCTTCTTACGGAACAGACAGACAAAAATGGAGTTTTTCTACACACTCTGAAATCCTTCTGAAATCTAGGAGACAGAAGTGTCAGTCCCATGCTGCTGAAAGTCCAATTTGTATGCTTGACTCTTACAACATCTGTGTTCAAGCACGTGCACAGGGTAAATAGTGAATTTTTCAGTATCACCTGGCTGCCAGAATGACACCAGACTACCTCTAGTGATCTCACTGCTTCTGATAAAGTGGTGATAAGCAGGAAGAACCTGCTTGCCCAATTCAGAAAGGCAGTTGCTAGAGAGAGCAATTCCAACAGGGATAGAGAATACCAAAAACAAAGTGAAGAGCTCAGAAATTAAAGGGGCAATGCTTGTAGCACTGCAGTGCTTCCAGTGTATGTGCTTCTCTCAAAAAGTGGAATTACACATGGCTGACACATGAATTAGGAAATGGAACTGTAGAAATTGCATGTGATTTAGATTTCCAAATTTACAAGATTTTTTTCAACATAGTTTTGATTAGCCATTTGGTTTTGCCGTTACCAAAATTTGCCTGGTTTGCAAAGAAATTACTCATAAGTTTTCTAGTTGGTCTCAATAAATGACAGTGGATTAAAGACAGATTAATATGACAAATTAGCCTTCCCTAATGGGGAATTATGCACTTATGGGGGGCATAAGCACACTCAAGATTGAGAAAGGACTAAATTTGGTCTGTTCCTATTCTTGTATTTACATTTTCTCATTAAAATAGAGAAAAGAAACTGCATAAAATGAAGATCAAACAAGCAAGAATGAAAAAACTAACTTCACTTACCACAAATCCAAGAGCAACTAAAGGCTCACGCTCATTTAAGTGATAAAGAAAGGATCCTCCATATGTATGTCTGTCTAAAGGCCAGCCTACAGTATGTTCCACTCTTCCTGGTTTCCATTTCTTTTCATCAATAGTCCATAACTGAAATGAAAATAACCAAAAAAATACTTCAGATTGCAAAGTAATGATCTTTCAATATATACTGAAGGACAAACACAATTACATATAGGAAAAACTTAATTCACTCTTATGAGCAATGCAAAAATACCAACTGCTCAGCATAGTTTTTTGGATTACCATTTAAGATTTTCCCAATACCCTTCTTTCTTTAAATGCTGTGTATCAGAAAATGTGACAGACTCCAGTACTACACCCAAAATTTTCATACAACCACAAGATTCCTAATATTACTGACTTTGACAGATGCTTCCGCCACAGAATGCAATGGTTATATTGACTTTTTTGTTTGACAGTATTATTTTTTCATATGATTCTATGAATTATCTTGTGAGCTTTTCAAGGTCAGGACAAAGCAATATACCCGAGTTGATCTAAATATTTTCTGTCAAACGTCTCTCCTACACATTTCCAGTGCTGCACTGACCCATGGTGAACTCAGAGAAGCATTTTCATGTTTTCAGGAATGAGCCCATTTTCTGCTCATTTCACAAAACCTCTTTGCACCATCGAGGTATGTGCCATGCACTGTCTAATGACAGGAGAGCAGTTGAGTGCCATAAGATCAGCTCAAGCATTGGGGCCCATCAGTAATGTTCCAGTCTAGATTCAAGAGAACATTTTTGAGCAGGACTTCTGATTCCTTCCACTTGCTGTGCTTTGACTCACATCAAACAGCAGCTGTGGAAGGCATGAACTGGATTCCTTCAATGTGAAACTAAAAGACAGTGTCCTAAAAGTCCATCTAAAGCATTCCAATCATGAAAGGACACTCAGTCTATGGGACTAGATCACAGCTAGTCCAAAGTAAAAATAAACCTGAGGCGTGCATAGTACAGATATCAGCTCATCAGCACCAACTACTTCAGATCCACTCCTACTGGACTGTACCATTTGCCAAAGCAGACACAGTCTCATCTGGACGCAAGGGAACTCTACAGGAAAACCCTTCTTTAATGACAATTTCAGTATTAGACACTGGAACTAAGATTACGTCATATTTACAGAGTGGTTATTCTGTACAGAAATGTAAACTAATCATGTAACAAACATTTAGTAGCTGTAAGCATATATTAAAGTAATACAGAATATGCTATAGTCAAAACTCTAAACATATTCTAAAATAATACTGGTCTTTTTCATGAGTGATATTTCCTGAGTATAGAATATTTTAAAAAGGAAACCTCATGCCTATCCCAATTTTATATTGCCCAATAGAGTTTTTATTTTAAAGAAAGGCTCATCCAGAAGGTGCTTCAGAGATCACAATTCATCCATCATCTGAAACAGCTCTCCTCTCTCTTTTCCACTAACATTCAGAAAGTCCACAGAGTGCATCTTCTTCCTTCCTCATGTACTAAATCCCCCCAAAACTAGGCAGCACAAATCCCTCTCTCATTTAGTACACATGGAAAACAGATTTCACGAACGACTGTAATTTGAAAATGTTAACAGAGCAGATTCACAGGTATCTCTAGTTATAACAGATACAAGAGAAGCAGCAGCTGAAATGGAACAGTCATGACATTCAGGGAGCATCTGCTCTGATCAGCTTCAGAACAGCAAAGATTCTGAAAGTGTAACTCAAATTCTTTAATTCTTTTGTCTTACACAAATCAGCTAGAAAGCAAACGGAATCTACCTTAAAGTCTTACGGTAATTTCTTTAATTGTTAAAATTATGCAAGTGATACCTCTTTCAATCCAATGCCATAGCTCTGGGGTTGACAATTCTCCCTTAGATTGTATTTTTTGTACAGCTGTTTGGCTAGATGTCCATGACAACCTTCAGCAAAGACTGTGACTTTAGCATGGAGTTCCAAGCCTCTTTCAAAGGTAGCCTGCAAAAAGTACAACATTTCATCAGCAGTTAGGTCTGTGCCACACCAAACTCACAGCAAGAAAATGGAGAGTAATAAAGTGATTTACACTACTTGGTAGCACAGCTCAGAACCTACAAACCATTGCCAATTATGATTCTAGTTCAGTTGTCCTTTCCACCTAACCATGATGCACCCCTGGGAAGTCTTGGAAGGAGATTCCAGTAAAGCAGTCCCACAGTGAATGGCTATTCATCACTGAAAATCTTTTGAGATCAGAGGGTACTTATATCAAATCTGCTCATTCACAAGGTGCAAAGGAACCCTGACAGACACAGAATCTTTACCTGTAACCTCACACTTTAATTTTTGCTCATGAAGTCACATTACAATAAAACACTGTGTGTATGTGCCCCTACACACGTGACATAGACTAGACAAAACTACCATATCTGAAAAACCTGAATCACCCCAGCTCCCAAAAGGACCCACTAATTCAGAATAATGATGTTACTCCAATACAGATTATGTTTAAAAATTTTTTATTACAAAAGAAGCTTAATTTCAGTCAGAAAGTTAAATGCTGAAAAAGACAAAGAAAACAAATTTGGATGAAGATCTTCAGCAGTACCAAATGAAACCATCTCAAGGTAAGACAGCATAGGTTCAAAAGAAGCTTTCTGATTTTGTTTTGAATTGTCTCTCAGGGGCAATCTACTTGTAACTTACAAATGAAAATGTTCCCTCTAGTTGAGAATTACATTTAAATAGGAGTCACAGGATTTTGTGAAATCTTTTGTACTCTTTGAATTTCATGTCAATGTGAACATGAACTAATTTTATAAAATACTAAACAAGAATTACCACTTCAGTATATAGTGTCCACTTTGAAGTAGCTTTATATACAACAAATTAACTACAACTCTGCATTCTAAATATTAGAAATTCATTCATTTGAAACACTTCAGTAATGTGACAGAGTTGTATTTCATAGTTAACAACCTTCTCCAGTATCAAAACAAGAATCAATGTGCAACTTTCTACAATTCATTTTTACCCACTGTCATTTTTATGTGGTTGGTGCTGATGACAAGGTGAAAATCTACTCATTAACCACAGACTATTTGATTAGGCCTTGTATAAACAAATTGAAGGTATTCTTGCCTTGGAGGTTATACAAACTACATCTATTTACCTGTGCCTTTATGAACTGGAGATAATACCAGCTGACCTAACTGACAGATAAAATACTTGAATTGGATGATAGTGCACTAAAAAAAAAATGCAGTAGAGGCATACTCAGTGTGTAGATTAAAGCAGTTGAGACACATTCTCCCAGAACAAATGGGAAAAAAATCAATCTATGTTTTGAGAATGTTAAGAAATACACCTAAAACTGTTCCTTCGTGTCTTAGAACAAACCTAAACTCCCAACGAAGCTTCACTACAGCAGAAACTGCACAGGTTACTTGTGCCACCTTCTGGACAAAGCATGCACTGGAAAACGAGAGCATGTCTGTCCCCTACAGCAGATACACAATATTACACTGGAAAAATACTTTACTCCTCCACTGTCTCTATTCTCTCAAAGCAAGAACAATTATTTTCTTCTCACTCCCTGCCTTAAATGGGGAAAAATAGCCCACACTTTATGTGAAAGTGAATACCTCTTGGAAACTCTAGGAAACTAGAATGAAACTTTATAAAAAAGAAAGTGAATGTTAAGAAAAAACTTGTACTCCTAATTTATGTAGTCAAATAATTCTGTGTGAAAGTTGTTCCAAGTAACTCTGAGATGCCACATTCTCCCAACATATCATACAAGGAAACAGCACACTTAGGGCAGGTTCTGGATTCCACCAAAAACCAAAAAATCCCAAGTCTGACACTTAGGGCAGGTAGTCACCTTCTGGATGCAGAAACATGACCAACCAGCATAAAGGTATAAAGACTCAAGTGTGTACCTTGTCCCAACAAGGTAGACAGACTGTCAGCAGGTGCATATCAAGGAAACCAAACCAGCCAGAAGCACACTCTCTTACATGTTGCTAGTTACCAGATGGACTAAAGCTTTCTATTTCACCTTTGGACTTTTTTTCCAGGGGTTCCTGGAGTTCTTTCCCTTGTTCCTAGATTTCACATATGCCAAACACCCTTACATAATCTCCTTCAAGACAACTTTTCTGAAAATGTTTTTTCTACTAATCTTGGAAGAATTTTACAATGTTCTGAGACCAGAACTTTCAGAGGTAATCAAGCCAATTAAATAGAGAGGGAGGACAGGTATTGAATTTTACAACTCTTCTTATGCTGCAGCAAGACTACTGCTGGCAGTAGAAGCAGATGTATCACAATTTCCATAATTAGACCCCTAGTTATGGGGAAGATAGATACTTACTTTAGGTGCTCCATCCTTCTGAATGCCTACATCATTAGTTGCTATCCCTTTCACACTACCATCTTCATGAAAAAGTACCTTTGGAAATATTGAAACAAACAAAAAACATTGTAATGAAACTGTACTTTGAATCTATTCATTGAAAGAAAGAAAACTAAAGCAGAACTTCTAAGCACTATGACTTATAATGGCCAAACTATGACTTCTTTAATGACCAAACATGAAGATTATGTATTTATTCACATACTGTATAATCCATTTCCACTTTGCTAGATCTAAGCCAGGGAATTTAGACAGAGAAACACAGTTTTCACAATATATATCAGTTAAAAAGAATGTTGCATCGGTACATCATCATGACTGCACTGAAGGGGGCTCTAAGGCCACTTTTCATAAACACACACTGATGTCATTAGTACCTCAGCTGCTGCATAGCCTGGATATATCTCAACACCCAAAGCTTCTGCTTGTTCACCCAGCCAACTCACAAGGTGGCCCAGACGTACTATGTAATTTCCATGATTAACCATTGGAAGTCCTAGGCAAAAAAACACACACACACATATAAAATTACTAAGCAAAACACCCAAAGCAGATATTACAGCTACTATCTTCAAGGTAATCTCATGTATTATTGGAGCCATCACCTATGCAGACTGCATCACTGTAACCTATTACATTCTACATATACTTGCTGCACTACACTAAATCAAATTTGTTTTGATTCATGAAGAAGTTCAAAAAGACACAGAGGAAACTCTCTTCTCCCACACTAAACTTTACCTGGAAGAATTGGCACTGGAATTCTAGATGTCTCTGTTAAAATTCCAAATTTGTCTTCAGTTACAGGAGTATTAAGTGGAGCCTACAAAAAATAGAAGTAGAGAGTTATGTTTTCTTAGCCAATCCAACAGAAACAACAAAATCAAATTATCAAACTGGCAGTCAAGTACAGATTTAGTAAAGCACTTCTATAGGAAAGTATCACAAGAGAGAAGATAAAGTACTTTGTGAAGTAGTCATGAAGCAAGAGCCAACACAACCACTGAGGTTAAAAAAAAAATATGGCTTTGCAAATAACATCTATTGTACACAGGCTTGTACTACATCAATATTCTAGACCTTTTTAAAGAAGACAGCTCAACTTGCAGATTTATCACCATAAGGCAAACCAAAGAATTGACAGCTGCTGTGCCATCTCTACAAAAAACTATTGTACAGATCCAGTGAGTCTGTCATTGGTAAGGACCAAACATCTTCCTGCTTGTACACAGGAGCTGGATTTTGCAAAAAGGCAGCAAGTGCAGGGCACCCCAGGCCGCACCAGACATGTTGTGTATATGCAGTAGGACTACTACAGAAAAGAGCAAAGCATATCTGTGTAGACAGAAAACTTTTAGCATTGTTGAACTACAGGAAACAGACTAAAAAGAAGGGACCCATTTTTGTTTTGTTCCATCAATGTATTTAAAATGGTACTAATTACTAATGGTACCTGGTACTAACTCATACCAGAATGAGTCAGATACAAAGCTCATCACACTCTAATAACAAACTTTGGTGTTTACATGCTCATACATACCCCTCGCTCTTTCCAGTCTGGAAAGAGTTCTTCTAAGGACCTTGGCTCGAGACAAGCACCAGATAACGTATGTGCACCAATCTGAGAAGCCTTTTCCACCAGACAAACACGCACTTCCTTGCTGTGCTCAGCAGCCAACTGTTTGAGTCGAATGGCTGCAGAAAGGCCTGCAGGGCCTGCTCCAACAATGACAACATCAGCTTCTTCAGCAAATCTTTCCATGTTTACCCCTTCAATAGAAAAGAAATTATAACATAATCCAATCTCCAATTTCTTCCAACCTCTCTCTCACTAAAGCTAAACCCTCACAGTAAGAACAACTGAAAAACCCAAGCAGATGCATACTGAAGAAAACTAAATCTTCTTGTGATAATCACTAAATCAAAGCTGCTTGTACATTTTCTTTATGAAAACAAGCATAGTTTCTTCTGATAGCACCAAAGACACTCATTGTGAGACAGCAAGCAAAAATTCCATTTGAAATATTAATACTACTGTATTTAAACACAATTTCCATAAAGAGAAAATACCAGCAACGCATTTTAGTGTCTTTAAAACTCAGCAATGACAATAAGAATAATAATAAAGCAGCTTTTAAAGAATGCAATGTTTTTACCTTCCCATCGCTTGTCTTTGTCCCGAGGATGAATTGTGTAATGTGTAGTTATGCGAGGCACAGAGGCAGTAGAGGCACATCGTGAGACACGCGGTGACAGAAGGCAATCTTTCTTTATCAACTTTAGAGCATGAAAGCACTGACGTGCTGCAAAAAACAGAAACAACTTTGTCAAATCAAGTTTTCCAGATTTCTCGAAATATCAGAGGCACAAGTAGCGTAATAAATATGACTGCTTCCCCCTCCCAAAGGCTACCAGGTGATATGAAGATGAGGAACAATAAACACAGATTTTTTTAATTTTCAAGTTAAGAGAATGCTGTGTAATTTTTTATCAGGGAAAAAAAAAGCTTCCCCTTTAAGCATTCTTTACTCAGTACACAGGCCAGCCATGCACAGCTGACATAGGATAATATGTGTATACACAGATGAAACATACTTTAAATTCTGATTTCATTTTGAACTTCAAAAGGTGTATTTCAGACTACATTAAAAGTGACCAAACAATGGTAGAAACAGGCCATGCAAGTTTAGCTCTGACATCTCAACACATATTGAGACACACAGCTTGGGCTACTAAAACAAGACAGTTCATCTAAAGTACATGCCATGGTCTGCAGTAAAAGCACAGACTCGAACACAAGTGTGCTTAGCCAAAGCTAGGAACAGCAGATAGAAAACCTTTACCTTTGCTGCAGATAGAGTAATTGCTGGGACAACAAATCAGAATTTCTTTGTAAGCAAATGGATGAAAATAAAGTTTCAAATTATCAAACCAGGACTCTTTTCAGAGGGCTATTACATGTCATCATTTTCCTCTTTTAGAAAGAAATAATACATGCGTGTGATTTGTAATAAAAAACCCTAGTATGGTTAGTATGAAAACTAGTTATAGTTAAAAGACTTGTGAACTAATGCACCTTGACTAGTAATTTTCCTTCCCTAAAAAATTCTCTATTTTCAGGGAAGAAGAATAATAATAACATCATATTTAAAGTGGAGTATTTCTGTACAACTACATAAGTCAAATCACCAGCATGCATGACTGAAATGTTTAGCTGAGAATGGCAATCAGCAAGGCCAGCACAAGCATCCTGTGCCATAACCCTGCCTAGTGACAGGACAGAGGTACACAAGGTAGCAAGTATAATCTATGTTGGTTCCTTAACAGGAATTCTATACCTAACCAACATTATTATCATACCACCTAATAATTCCTAGTTACCTTTCACCTGCAACCAGACAGGATCTGAGAATAAGTACTCTACAAGGTCGATAACTTAACTTTTAGAATTTTTTATTTGACCATAACTGATCGTACTAAGAAACACACAGCATATTAAAAAAAACAAAAAACAAACCCCAAACAATAAAAAAACCAGTTATTTTGCACATATGCAAAAGAAGTGAAACTCTGAAGAACACGTCTGATAATAACAGAGGTGGGTGCAGAGATGGGGCACGCCTGCAAGAACCAAGCGATTCCTAAGGAGAAACTTTGCTCTGCGGCAGCTCTTCAGTACAGCTGTTGGGATGCTGCCTGTACATCTACTTCCCAAGCAAGGACACTCATTCCACTGCTTTATTTCACTCTTCAGAACAGATGACACCTAGCGTCGCTCAGCAAACCCTCCCATCTTTCACGCACCCGGCTGCAGGTGAGTAACCCAGGTCATTGTCACAGAGCTGGGGCTCGGGCAGCGCTCACGCACAGCGCTGTCCTCCCGCCTCCGGGCAGGGGGAGCCGCGGGCAGGGGAGCCGCGGGGTCCCCGCTCGCCGGCCCCGCTCAGGCCCCGACACTGGCGCGACCCAGCCGCGACCTTTGCTCTGCCT